CGAAAGTAATCTGTTTGCGTTAGAGCAGTGCTGCTGGCATATCCACGTGCAAGTATTTTTACTAAACCGTTTAATAGCAACGTACGTTAGATTCGTTCAAACTTTGAAGTACCATCCTTTGCAATCATCTCAGAGCATGCCATTTTCCACAGGGCGTCGACAACCTGAACGTCGGCAATCGCTTTTTTGAAATTGTCCAGTCATAAAAGGAACATAAACACGGACAACATCTACAGAAGAAAAACCTGACTTGCAGAAAAGTGAAAAAGTGCTCTGTGAGCAAGAACGATGCAATAGCGTCGTAAGGCCACTCGAATGCTTCAAAGATAGAATGTGTGGTGCTTATGATTCGTGCACTTTCGTTACGGATACGGCAGCGTCTGAAATTCTCGCGGTGCAGTCTAGTTACAGTCATGCTTACACAACACTGTTATCGTTCTATGCCTTAAGAGCATTTTTCAAGAAGATAAAGGTTAAGTGTACAAATTATTTGCTGGAGTTCAGAAATGCCGATGTTCGCCAGTGCCTGGAATATCTTGTAAGAACCAGGTGACCTGAAATATAATCCTCGTTTTACATAGTGCATTATAATCAGGTTTGCCTAGAAGTACGACTGCCCGGGAACCCATTTTTCACGAGCCTATGATTGCATAAATGATCACTGGATAGACCGCAAATCAATGTAGACTCACTGTTACCAGCGACATGTACTGAGACTGAAAAAAGCACTGACTCACTATTTTTATCTGTGCTCAGAGTCTCAGAGTCAGAGTCTTCATCCAGTTTCGGCTCTAAGTGATTTTTTATTCGCAACTTAACAGCCTTTTCTTCACATTTAATTCTGCAAGTATATTCATGCAATGAATTTGATATAATTTTCATTCACTTGAAAAATTAGTAGGACTCAGTTGTTTATTACCTATAAATATGAAAATAAACACAGATGAAGGATATGTGCTGGCTGCTTGGTTCTGACACATTTGTTTGTATTCGTAATCGTTTACATCACTATGTGTATAAACTTTCGATGAGACTGTAGTGGCACTGGACATTAACCACACAATCCTCAATTCTGAGTACGAGACACTTAGGCAAATAGAAGTTCAACATTTAACGCTGAGAAAAACCAAACGATGGAGAAGGCGGGAACAATAAATGGAATTAATTCGAGTTGATCGAACGGCATGGCTAGGCCTTGCAGGCGTGGTCACTCTTAAGTGTCGTAACATAGTCTTTTATTCATATCAAATATATTTTTCTATCTCTAGCCTAAGTTTTTTCTCCATCATATATTTGGTGATTGTTGCGATGCGATGAGTTGGTGTAGACAATGATGTGACTGGCACGTAAGATTTTATAGATTAGGCAGTAACGTCATGACAAATCTGCAATTTTAGGATTAAGTTTATTATTAAAGTAGTGCTAATATCACAGTAGACCATAATTCTACAAGGTTATAATATACGAACGACCTATGAGCGGCTCTGTACTGACCTTGGGAATGTTGACCTACTTACTGGAGCTAAATGAGGGTGATAAACCTGTGATGATTCCGTGACTAACCTATACTTCATGACTCCTTGTATTATAGAAGACCGGTATGCATACGTTTAGTTTGTGCCTGTGAAATCTCAAAAATTCCAATGATAAATCAGCAACAATGATTTGATTTGGATTATTTCAAACAACTGCGACCTGTGTTTGATAATTAGTCTCATTTCATACTTCATTCCATTTCGTCCAAGCGTCAATGTCAATGCAGTTAATGATTTTAATTAAAAATTATGCATTTTAATGGGTTTTCTGAATCGATTTATAATAGCTCTCATTTCCAGTACTGGCTGTCTATGCAAAAATATCGGTAACTCTATACCAGAAGTAGTAACTCTGAGATGTTTGCTTGATCCCTGGTGGAAACTACACATGACCGTACATTTCTCTCATGAGTATGATTTATTCCTGGGATGTAATAATTTGGTGGCATTTGTATTTGGCGAGAGGAGGTAATACTAACAATCCAGTGGGAGTTATTATTGCCTGAAGCAAAAATATAACAACTACAACCCTAAATAAAGCTAATACCTTCACTATTAATATATATCTGGCATAAAACTGGACCAAAATAGTGAAAATCAGCCGAAATTGCAATAAGGAAATCAAAAACATAAACCTTATAATGGCATCCTTACTTGTTGTGCAGTTTTGAAAGCCTTGACAACAATGCAGTTTTTATGATGACATATGCTTCACTCAAGTTATTTCATATAAAACCAAATCATTTGTCCACTTTTAGTGTATGGACTTGTGGGAATCAATGCTAGCCTGAGATGCAGTTGTAGGAAAACTATTGTAACAGCACCGAAATAATTAATTTTTAGGGACATTGCGAGGCCATGTACCACAAAATGCAAAAACCTTTTTTTCTCCTCCAGGACGGCCAATTAACTAGGTAAATACCCAACAGGCCCATGGAGTACGGTTAATTTTACATTACCAACATAATGTGTCGGTACCCCAGATGCCGCACTTCCTCAGATATTCTTGTTTGTTTCGCCCTTCATTCCCTTATTAGCCTTGGCTTTTATGCAGACTAACGCTATTGGTGCAACATCTCACTAGCTACAGTTTGTCTCTAGAAGATTGATACGGATGATAACATGATACCACGAAAGTATATGATATCTGTGGATCAACTATGGGTACAAGGTAGGCAGTTTTTAGCACTCAACATTGCTATTAAATGCTAAACGTCATGCAATACCACTCTATAAGACTGTATCGTCTTGGGGAGTTACTACATTATTATGTTTTGAATTTAATAAGCCGACATTTCAAGATAGATAGTCTCCAGGAGGATTCTGTGTATTGTTCGAACCAATCGAAACTTTGGTGTACAGTTATGAATCTATTTACTTTTCTATTTTGTGCGAGTATAATATTATTTCCCTCTACTGAATGATAAAGTAAGGATTTACATGTCGACGGCCGACCCTCTTCATGTACTACCTAATCCTGCTGAAATAAACTTTGCGGAAAGAAAATCAAAGCTTTCTTTTGACTTCTATATATGAAGAAGTAAAAAAGTTTAGATCTGAGAGATAAATTCTTCAATATGATTCTGAAAACATCTCTGATATACCTGTTTGCCTAAATACGACTGGTTAAGGTACTACAGTGCATGGAAATTATACTGTGATTTTGCACTGTAGACGCAGCTGACTCCTGGCTAGTGTTTGAATTCTGAATTAAGAAAAAGCCCCACTATGTTTATCAACTCTGGACTAAACTAGTTATTAGAGTGCAGTAAAAGGACAAGAAAATCACTATCATATCTGTAGTGAAATACAAAACAATGGTGCATCCTAGTGGCTCCTACAAATCGTTAATTGGCAGAAATATCATTGAATCTTACCTTAATCTTTTAGCCACAGTACTCTAGTATCTAGAACAAAGTGATCACTCTGTATATTAAACGAGCAAAAACATTAAAAGGCCTCAGACAGTGCTATTCGAACTCAATAGAATATCGAGTTTCCAATAGTAGAACCATGGAGAAGTTGGTCGGACCGGTTTAAACGGAAAGGAACTGTAGTTCCAGACTTCCCTTACAGCTCGGAATGTAAAGCTACGTGTTAACATGGTGTTTAGCGCTTCAAATGTGGGAGTATTGCCAAGGTTGTTATTGAAAATTAAATAACATGGGGCCTCACAGGGTATACTAGAATTTCGTAAAACTGTTACAGTGAAGTTACTTCTGAGTCATCTCATTCTAAGGTGGTAGAGATATGATGACTTCGAAAGTCCCATGCAACATTTAAACATGAGTCCACGAAACAATTTCTTGTCCCGTTTTCGCATACTTTTCAAAGTATTCCCACTTTGTTGCGGATGGTAGAAAGCACTGTTCGAAAAACTTTTCCACCACCATACATGCTATAAATGGGTTCTGAAGATAATATTCTAGGGTCCACCCTAGGCGTATGTTGAATTAGTTGCCATGTGATTTTTATCAATTAAGAAGTAACAAACACAAAGGCCTCTCTACCGACAACGTTTGTAATGGCTGGTGTTTTATCACGCACAGATCAAGTAACCGCTGTAGTGGTAAATAAATCCTTAAAATAAATAGCTCCGTAAGTCTTCGACATTAGATGCTGGCCACATTAATTTTAATGGACTCACCTAGCTGAAGGCGCTCGGTTATGCATCCATACCAGATCATCAGTGGGAACGCCGTGCTCAACAACCCCTGCAATCGCTAGCCAGATTAGATCAGACGATTCTCGATATATTGATAGCCTATCAAATATATCTTCGAACCTCCTCGCTTCTGTCTTTTGATTTCACTTGGTGGGTCTGCTTCACATTGGAAGGTGTTACTGGTTAAAGCGTTGTCAAACTCCGAATACTTGTGGCATCGTCACCGCGTACTGAGTTCAAATTTAATTCACTATTAACTTGATCGACCGGTATGTCCAGAAGCTAGAATGGCCAATGTGGGCTTAACATAGAACCTGCCACTAAAAATTCCCCTATTGAAAATGTGAAGAATTACAAAATAAGTCCATGATAACTATCCCTACAGAACTAATGATTCCTTGTCACTGAACACAGGGAGCCTGTTAGGCGAAAGTTTCTTCCATTCAGTCCACAACCGTTTAAACTATTTAGTTTGAAGTGTGTCACGGTAAGGTAAAGCAAGAAGTATCTCAGAATTTTAACAGTATGTGTTTCGATCATGTGTCACACTTCTTCACAGAAGTTTAGAACTAGAGTTCCATTCCTCTTAAACCAGTCCAACCAACTTCCCCATGGTTCTACTATTGGAAACTCGATATTCTATTGAGTTCGAATAGCACTATCTGAGGCCTTTTTATGTTCTTTCTCGTTTCATATACGGAGTGATCACTTTTTTCTAGATGCTAGAGTTTTCTGAGCATAAGGATTCTTCATTATTTCCATTAACTGTTGGTTTGTTTGAAACTGTATAATTTGTTATTGCATAATTGCTGCACAATCCGCGGTGTTTAATCTCAGCAGTATGTTAGTCAAGACACTTTTCATATACCTTTGGGAAACGAATATTTCATTCTGCAGCTAGAATGTTGGAAGTGCACGGAACCATAAAAAGAAAACGCAAAGAAATCAATCGTCTTATACAAGCTCGTAACAAAGATATGAAGACTGAAACGTTGGTTGAGGTAGATAATGTTGTACTCAGCCACCTATATCTACAAATTGTAGCTCTGATTGTAATACCGGTTTCGATAACATTTCGGTTTGGGCTTAACAGTATGCTAAATACGGGGCTGACTACCCAATCTCCTGTAATTAAAGTACTGGAAAGAATAACCAAACGGACCATAACGGCATTTATGGAAACCAATAACTTGCTGAACATGGCACAACATGGTTTTAGAAAGGGTCTACCCTGTACAACCAACCTCCTTACAGCAACGGAGTCCTGGATAAAGGCACTAGACAACGGGAACTCAGTGGATGCTGTCTACATAGACATCAGTAAGGCTTTTGACAAGGTGCCAACAAATAGACTACTATTGAAGTTGGAAAACCTTGGTATTGCCGGACCTCTATTAAAATGGATGGAGGATTTCCTAGTAGATCGTAGACAGAAAGTAATAATAAATTACAAGTGCTCCATCTGGAGACCAGTACTTAGTGGGGTACCTCAAGGTTCCGTCTTAGGTCCTTTACTTTTTATAATGTATGTTAATGATCTTCCAAATATAGTACAGTCTCCAATGTTATTATACGCTGACGACGTAAAAATCTGGTGAGTAATAACTGGAGAAACAGACGCACGTGCTCTTCAGGTAGACTTAAATAATATGATTAACTGGTCTAAGGAGTGGCTGGTGCCTATCAACGCGGCAAAGTGTGTCTACATGCACTTTGGGGATTCGAAAGTTAATAGGTACAACATAGGGGAAAGGCCATTACCCGTAGTCCGGTCACATAAGGATCTAGGGGTGACAGTGAGTCATGATCTTAAGACGACGGCCCATTGCCGGGAGGTCGCAGCTAAGGGGTTTCGAACCCTCTAGGCTTTAAAACGGACATTAACTAAGTTAGATACTACCATGTTCACCACAGTATACATATCCTTAGTGAGAACTAAGCTAGAGAACTGCTTTCAGTTTGCAAGTCCTTGTTTAAAACGACTCGGATATCCTAGAAAAAGTACAGAGGGCAGATACTCGTGCAATTCCAGAACTCCGGATTTTTCATACAAAGAGCGGCTTGAAAAGCTGGGCCTCTATACTCTGTCCTATCGCAGACTAAGGGGAGATCTAATTTTGATGTACAGAATACTGAGAAATGATTTCGGACCTAACTTATTCTCTTTTTCTTCCCACTAGATCGGGACACCTCAGAGGACATAGCAGGCAAGTAGAAAAGCCAAGAACGAACAAAATACCCGTGGCATACAGGTTTTCACACCGAGTCATCAATACTTGGAACCTGTTGCCCGAAGCAGTGGTGTCCGCACCTTCAATTGACTCTTTCAAGAGAAGACTGGATACTCGCAGAAGCATACTAGAAAAGGAATAACATAGGCCGTAGGCCTTCTGTCCTTACTGCATAAATCTTAATATTAGGGGAAGTTTTAGAGATATTTTGTGAAAGCTGCAGTAGAAGATTCTGGGGGAGTGCGACAAAAACCCTTAGGTTCTTCCACGTCATGTAGAGAACTGCGAAGCTTTATATGACTAGAAAAAACTCCAAATTTCCCCGAAATTCGGAGATTAGGTGCTTGTAAGACATGATGCTGTTTACTTCGTCTGGCTTCCAAACTATGGTGACTGGGTATAGTTCGAATTCACTTATGTGCCACATTGTGCATGACTTACTGCCTCTTGTAAGGACAATGATTTCTTTTGATGGGAACGCCCTTTTACAGAATTCTTGATCTAAACTTTCGAAGCATTTGGTCACATGTTATTTCCCACACGTGTTAATGTTGTTTTGCAATTACTCATAATTGCTTCATTGCGATCCCGTCGATAAATCCCGACTTCGATTAACACGTCTGATTAACATCACTAAATCATAAAACAAAATGCAAGAACTTGTGCCTATGTACTTACCTTCATGATAGTCGTCGCACCAAAACTGGATTTTAAACGTAGTTTTTGTTTGCTTCAGTAGTTTACGGTTGTTTGCAAGGATTCGATTGTCTTTCCTTACACGAAGTTTATTTATAATTAACTTGCGACAAATGTTTCCTGTTCGCCTGTAATCCCCAGTTGTCTTCATTCTTATTAAGTTAAAACTTCATCATCTTTGATATCGCTGCCTATCATATGTGGTCGTTGTTTGACTTATTCGGTTACGTATGTATATTGTTGCTAATTGATATTCTAAAGCGAGTACTCGTCCCAGCCTTGGATAATATTTTTTTTGTAATGCATATGTTTATTTCCACCATAGTCCATATTTGTTTGACTACAAACTCCATGAAAAATTTTTCTTCACTTCAGATCCCATTAAGCTATACATTAATAGATAATGGAATTCAAATCTCCTGCAGTCACCAAACATAAACTTATCCGCCTTCAGTTTTATAGTTGTCCACCAAGTGATATTATCGAACTAAATGAACTAGAAGATTATGCCGTTCATCGTATTCGAGTGCTAAAATGTGTCGAGGCTGTAGGGCAAGATTGTATTCGAGGCACAAAGGATTATGATGATAAAATGGTAACGGAGCTAACAAAGATAAGTGGCTTCGGGAAGATATTTACTTCTTCTTCTTCCTCCTTAAAGAATGCACAGGAAGACATTCACAAGGACATTGTTTCCCACTTTATTCTACAGGTAAATTGCCATATCTTCGCATCTTAGTAAGATGTGTTCATTTTGTATGTACAAAAATTCAGTTTATAGCTTGTATATAAGATTTCATTGTCTTTTTGTAATATATTTAGTAACGGAAATAATTTATGCATGCTCCTATCTAGTTCATCAAAGAACACGAATTTTCATCCTGAGATAATGTCCGGATATGTTAGCTCAAGCACTAAACACTTAAACGACTGGTTACTGTTTGGAACACTGCTCCACCTACTTCAGCTTAGGAAAGTCGGGCAGTATCACTAGCCCTCACACAAAAAATCATGGCTGGAACCCGACTACATAAACCGGTATTTGGTCAATAAGCTGCTTTGTTTTCACTTTTTTGTTTGCGTGATTCTCAGTAATCTCAATGCATAGTTTAACCACATGACGTAAGGTAGTTGAACATATTGTTTATCTCATCTTGGGGGTCTTGTCAGCTGTGGTGGGTTGTTAACTGTCGAGGTCTCAGCACGAATTTAAAAGGCCTTTTGTATCCCCTGATTTTCCGCACTCGCGAATATGAGACATCTGGCTGCCTATAAAAGGGCTGTAAAGTGTGGTTTCTCAGATTAAAGGGTATATGTAGACTACTAGTACTTGTTCATAGATGTCCTCAAAGTATTATTCATATGTGGAAGACCATTGCTGAACTTAAAGGAAGGATTGTAGGGAATATGAAATTGGTTGACAACGTCGTAAATGAGTTACATGTGCTAAACCATCACCTGCATCAGTTCCCAATCCTAGGGTTAAAATAGATTTATAGGAAGCTATGAGCAATCAAACCAGAACATTGAATTAGATCTTGAATCGATTGACTGTTAGTCCGGATCATATTGATAAGCGCAAATTACCTGGTCGTGGTCCGCACATTTATCATGATTAATTGTTAAAAACGTGTAGTATGGCTTAGAATTGTGCAAGCGCTTGTTTCATGACTATTCATCCAACCTGAACGGTTTTTCCAAACAACCGCTTGTGACTATTCATAATCTACATATCCAAAACTGTAACTCCACCACAGATTTTAAATTATACATTTTTCATACCCATCATCATACGAATAAACAGAGTGATCTCATACGGAACCACTTTGACCAGAAATAACATGGCACTGACATGTGTCTTTGATTTTACTAATCATATTCTGCTTTGTTTCCTTTGTACTACTTAAACTTGTGTTGATTTCATTTATTCAGTCATTTACTCCGAAAGAGTGACTTACATTTAGTTTCGAAACGTCAGAAATAAAAATCTCTACTCATTGCGGAATCACAAAAATATTGTTACTGTTAACTTTCTACCCAATACTCCTTTAATTTAAAACTATAAAGTTCAACCTTGGTATTGATGCCTACACCTCATCTATCCCTTTTTTACTACTTGCACCATCTTGGCATTCATCCTGATAATCTCATCTTTCTGCGATGTGATAACTCTAGGTGATGCATATATATAACGAGTTCTATGTTCCTTACGGTTGAGACTGACCCCGAGTAATAGCTCGTTTACTAAGTTCATTTACACAATTGACTTTGACACATATAGCATGATGCTTTGTTATGCTATCTGTATTCCCAAATCAAAGTAGGTGCGGAAGTGTTTGAACCTGTAACCTACCAGTTGAAAGCCGGGTACTCTAATCTCTAGTCCCTTGGTAAGATCCCAAGATTGTGTGATTTGGTGGCTTGAGACGTTATTAAGTATAGGTCAAAATTAAGGTATTACATCCTTCATGAATAGTAAAATCCTTCTTGGCTGCGTTCTCACTTAAAAAATAGACTTTTGTGATTTTTATAGTCTATAATAGTTCTGCACTTTGTCTTTTGCTTCGCATTGTTGTTGTTTGGGTTTCGTGTATTCAATAGTGACAATTTACGGTGGATTATTTCGATTGACAGTAGTATGTGCTCCCTATACTTTAGGGTACAACTCCGATTCACACCATAACCTGTTTTGTCTTCTCTGATATCTTCAAAAAGGAAGAAGGACACAAAATGTTGAATGGTCAAATTGTGGCAACTGTTCTTATGCAATTTGAAGCCCATGTCATCCTCAAGTGAAATTTGTTTGTACATTACATTTGTCATGACAACTGACTGAAAGTAACCCTATGAAATAGTACATAATTTCCGCGTTTCGCTCTAGACTTTAAGGAAATATTTCCTTGAAGAAGCTTGGACCAGATTGCCAGGCAAAACGTTGGATTTACTTCAAATTCTTTCGCTGAGATTTTACAAATACATTCTTCCTCTTTAATGTCTCACAATAACTTGGCGCCCAAATACGGTAAAATTATTCGATCAAATTTAGACGAAAGTTCTTATTTCTTTAAGATTTAACATAGTACTTATAAGTGTCCTAACTTTTTATCGTTTGACGTCTTTAAGTTGTTGATTATTTGGATTGGTTCCGATACGATCGACTGATAGTTGCAACCCATCAATTTTGTCATATCGTTTTACAATATTTGTTCTCACCGTATGATATATGTTGTACCGAGGTCCTGATTTAAAACATTCATGGATATATCTCAACGCTTCATTCTCATCAATAACCAATAGATTTCTTCTAGGTCTACTGCACTGATAGATTCTCGTAAACTCATCAAATTTGGATCTGAACACGATGAAAAACGAAAACAAGTCAGATATAGGTTGAACAACAATTCCAGGCTGTTTGGGATGCGTTTCACCACCTCTAAATGAAAGTTGTTGCTCCAGGACTGGTCTGCGTCAACACCTGAACTAAGGATAGGGAGTGAAGTAGTCGAACGCGTCGACAACTTCACTTATCTTGGAAGTCTGATTAGCCCTAATGGGTTGGTGTCTGACGAAATCTCTGTACGGATCCAGAATGCTTGTTTGGCTTTTGCCAACTTACGTCACCTATGGCGAAGGCGAGATATCCGTCTATCAATAAAAGGACGGGTATACTGCGCGACAGTCCGTTCTGTTTTACTTTACGGCAGCGAAACATGGCCATTAAGAGTGTAAGATATTGGTAAGCTACTAATATTTGACCACAGATGCCTTAGAAATATTGCTGGCGTCTGCTGGGATCACTGGGTAAGTAATAGTTTGGTTAGACACAGGGTGTTAGGGAATGATGGTAAATCAGTTGGTCAGGTTGTGAATCTTCATCGACTGAGATGGTTGGGCCACGTGTTACGTATGCCCGAACACCGATTACCACGATGTGCAATGCTAACCGGTGTTGGAGATGGTTGGAAGTTAGGGGCGGCCAAACCAAAACGTGGCATCAGTGCTTGAAGTCACTAACTTGTAGTCTGAGCCATGTTGGGAGATGCAGACTACTTGGTTGGGGTCCGCGTGACTATCGTAACCAATGGTTGGAGATTTTGGTGACATGGCTCAGAATCGATCACAATGGCGTCGGTGTATACACTCTCTGTCTGCCCTCAAACTAAGAGATTAAAATCGCTTCATATCTTTCTTTCTACGAACTAATTCTTTCTTCCTGTACTATATCCTTATATGCAATCTTTCTCTTATATATTACCACCTCTGAATTAACTACTTTTATGAATCCGGTGTTCATCTTGTTGTGTTAATGTGGTGTGGCAACTTGTTCCAATGTATATATGTGCCTGGTCCTACGTTGTAGCTGACTGACTGAGATAAGTGCTCATGAATGTTCGGTATTTCTATGTTTCAAATCTCATTTCACTTCAAATGGTGATGATGTCTATCCTGTAAACCCGTTTGGTGAAATCTCGCCGATATGTGATTGCTTGACTTCCACACCGCCAAATATTTGCGGATAAGCGAAGTAAATGAGAAATCTGAACGCAGATACATATATATTTGCACTCCTGCTTGCACCCAAACTTTTATCCAAGCCACTTTATAACACGGCTTTATAAAAAAAAACTGAGTACCTAAGTGTAAAATTGTTCTTTTTTATTCCTTCAAATGACTTCTTCAATCATACATTAATCAGGATACCACTGCTGTTTTCCGTTCAGGTTGCTTACTGCCGTAGCGAAGATCTACGTCGATGGTTTGTTCAGCAAGAAGTAGATTTATTTCGCTTTCGCTTTCTCAATGAACGTAACAATTCTGCTTTTGGTTCAGAAGTTATTTCAAGATTTCTCCATGAAAATCATCTCCATTTCACTCTTATGTCCGATTCCGAACGAACAAACTTACTGAATCATTTAATAGCAGGTACAGCTACTGCGGGAATTGATCATAATACTACCGCATTTTACAAAGTGAGTAATCCGATCTATATGAATTATTAAATTTATCAAGAATTATCGTCACCTTCAATCAGTGTTTTAAAATCAATGGACTTTATTATCATTACTAACGACGAGATTTAGTAGCACCTTTTGTTTCGTATTCAAGTTGTCAATCATAAAACCATATCCCAACACAGTCAGTCACAAGATTTAACAAACGAATGTCCACCATTTACTCTAATAAACATGTTTTGGGCATAGTATATGATTCCTTACACCTCTTACTGACTTTTAATGAAGCTGTTTAATCCTGCGGAAAGGTGAATGGATGGAATTGGGGTCGCAAATAGTGAAATTCAGTTTGCTGCATATTATTGAGTTCCATTATTCGGTGTTTGGAACCGAATGCAAATCATTCACAGTACATTTCGCACTTGGTACATCCGTTCACTAAGCAAATATATTAGCAGCTTCAACTTTAGTCCAATGAAAAAAACTACTTCTATCCTTTTCTTTCATGTCCTGTTAACTAGAGAGAAAAGTTTGTTTTCGTAATGGGAGCTTTGTTGGTGATGACCCCAATAGAATTAGGAAATATATTTTAGGTTAGCCGGTTATATATATATATATATATATATATATATATGTTCTAACGATTAGGATTTACGAATCGAACGATTCACTATACACAGTCACAGTAAAAATCCACTGAAATTTCACAAAGTAATGGTACAAAAATGTGTAGAAAGTTAACCTTAAAATTACCTCAAATCGGTACTGGTTTCCTTCTTCATAAGTTGTAGTCGGGGGTTGCACATCCCCAACAGAATCCTTAATTCATCATCTTGAGACCTGGGACAAATATGCATCTATTAGATTTGTCACATAATGTTCGGAATAAAAGGCACCCAAACTAATGGTAATTATCTCACTCTTTTGATTAATGAGGCTTTCTCCCTAGATCATTTGACTTCATAGTATTTAAATCCACACACAGCTTCGTTCTACAAGAGGCCATTTGCGGCCCGAGTAGCTGTTGTAACTTTTCTCCCTGAGACAATAGGTGGTCTATCTTTAAAGATCTGAGAGATCCAGTAGTTCAATCGAGATCATGTAAAGTGTCGTTAGATGCCAACAAATAAAGCATTCCAGGTCTTTTTCATTAGTTCGAATCATCACCATGTTTCATATACAGCTGTCTGGTCTGACGGATTATCGTATACTAAGATGAAATTTCCAAATTTAATTACCAAAGTTAAGATTTAATCACACCTTGTGTCTCATGTACCATTTCCCATCAATGATGTGTCGGCACACATCTTCATAAAAAAGAATTTCTATATTTTATTATCAAAAAAGCATTTGATATGAACAGAGACTAGAGTTAGGAAGAAAGACAAGATTAAATGACAAGATGACATAATATTTTAAGTTAAAAAAAGCTGGAGAAAGAATTGAAAAATTGTTCATGTTCGATAAAGTGGCGGTAAAAGCGTCCTGAATGAAAAAAATTATTCCCATCACATTTCCACGTTTGTAGTTCTAGTTTAGATGCTAATTTTTGAACTGACAATGATGTTAATAAAACTCCTTGAGTTTTTCTAATGATCAACTGTCTGTAACAGATATCTTTTGAGAACATGCATTCATGAATGAAATAAGCAGTAATAAGTTTGAGAAGTGTTGTGCGAAGCTAAAGTCGAATTTATCCTAATTTAAAAATCTGACATGAATTTTCAGAGGAAATTTTTGCTTAATTTTACGACAATTACGTATCGAGTTTTGTATTTCGTTTTCTTTTTTCTTTCTAGGTTCATTTTACTGAAGTTCCGGATCTTATTCGATCTAGACGAGTTTTTGTACAGGGTGGATATGCGTTTGTACCAGAACCTGACTTAGTCAGTCTTGTTGTTTCCTGTTTTCGTACTAGTTTATCACGCAACTTAGCGCACCTTGGATTGACTTTGTGCTCCAGAATAGCATGTGAAGAAAATCGGGTTTTGCCCCTGTTATCATCTTTATCCAATCGTTATCTTGGTGAGGACTATTCAACTAAAGCACCTGTTATTGGATTAGTAAAAGCTGATGATATAGACGGTTTCTCGAGACAACCAGGCCTTTTCCCACCCTGTATGGCACAGTTACATGAAGCTCTCAAAATACATCACCACTTGCGGCATTCCGGTAGAATGCAGTACTGTCTATTTTTAAAGGTTAGCTCTAATTGACGCACAGATAATTAGATGTTTAATGAAATATTTCTTTTGCTGCATCGACTGTTTTGGATTTGTCATATAACTTATTCACATGCTTCAGTTTTCGCACATATGACTATTTTCTGTTTATCTGAAACTTTTAGAATGCTTAAAATCAAGTTTACTTGTTCAGTAGTTCTATTTCCGTTTGCCAAACCAAAATAGATCATAGGTTAGCTCTCATTTGATGGGAATGGCGATCTACTACAGTTGTGGTTTTCTGAAATCTCGTTCTCATAAACTTTAGCCTTACATAGGCTAACTACAACTCGAGATACGATGCTCTTTAGGAGACCACGAGTTTAATATATGTCAATCCTTAGGTCTGAAAACTTCACAAGGCTTCCTTAGGGAACGGAAACGTGGTTGCATTTGAAGCAGCAGCTACAACTGGTAACTAGCGGAAACCGTTTCAGCTCATCCAGGCCAATAATAGCAAGAAGTCTTACTAGTGAGAAAAACTGTGGAGTTGGTAGAAGGCCAATCAATGACCTCCAGAAGCCTCGAAAACACTAGGCCAAGGATTTTGAAAGACAAGCCAACAGTTTTATTTGCCCAGTAGTGTCGATCAGACTGTCTTGTGCTTATTGGCTATTTTATTTACTTATTTATTTTAACACATAGATATTGGTACAAGGAGGCACCAAATACATATGTACCACACAAATCTCATTTGATATGTGTGAGGGCTGTGATACTGACCGTGTGCCCAAACCGAGGCAGGTGGTTTTCTCAGGGGCCACACCCGGAGCCTTCGACCTGAAGGTCTGATCCACAAGGCAGTGGAGCATCGTAAGGAGATGCAGTCGCATGGTAGCCGGTGACCAACGATTGGTTCATACGCCATTTGTTCCTTCAGGGTACTGGAGCCCATGTGCACCGTTGGTTTGGAATTAGGGTTTTCCAACTCCCCCTAGGTGGACTCTCCATGTCCACCAACCCGGTTGAGGCGCCGGACATTCGGTTTTCGTCTTCAATTTCGTTAACAACACCCCCGCCACGAGAAGGCAGTGAGTAGGACTTCCCTGGCAGAGGCTGTATACGCGTGGCCATGTGAGAGCATTTCGAAAAGGAGAGCGGACTCTCCCTACTCTCTGCCGTACCAGGGCTTCTTGGCTGATGACTACTGATCCATCTATCAAGCGGGGGTCGTTAAGCAAAATCCACCAGGCTTAAACGACTTGAAACCGGTTGTTTTTAAGAGTAGTATCAAACTTCTGTTAAGATATTTGACTGTATTGTTTGGATAGATTTGGATAACAGACTTTTCTGATATTTGGAATGAAGCGTTTGTTGTTTTAACCTTTATAAAGGACTCATGTGTTTGCGCAACCACTATCAGGTTATAGTTTTTCTCCACTTTGCTTCCATACCGTTAAATACCGCCACAATCAGCAGATTGCGAGGAACTCTTGAAGGACTGATTCAAGAGGTCAGTTTCCGTTCATGTTTTGGATGTGTTAATGAAGTCCTCACTCTACGCCAAATTTTGGGACAACTTCACACCTTTTTCAGGTCGACAATCGTCGTATATTTTTATATCAGGACCACATTCGATTTATAAGAAAGGATTGTACTTTAACATTGTTTGATAACAGAAGATTGTCTTGAAAGTTTATTAGCAGCTTGAAAGCCCTGTTCACAAACAATATTGTAAGGGAATATGACTTTTTCTACTCACTGTTCTGATCTAACAATTGAATTAATCAGGTTTGTCGAATTTCGTCATCCCTCGACGTTACCATCGATGACTTTCTGTAGACATCTCTTAAGGAAGTATGTGGTTGTGCAGACATTACTTGTGGAGAGGCTTCGATCTTGAATACGCAGACAATATTACCCTACTGTTAGATGGCAAGAAGTTATGCAATTTGCTATTAGTGTCTGTAAATTTAGCATGTAGTTTGCACCTAAACCTCTAGAGTTACTGCTTGTCCCAAGCCCGGATGAAGGTTGAGCATGGGGTCGGCAACCCCATCCCGTAGAAAGCAACTTTGCTAAAAAGACACTAACCAGAAAAGAACCATTTAAACTCTCCCCTAGGAGTTGAAGGATCTTCATTCAGAAGAATTATGACGTCTCATGGTAAAAGCCGATATTCTCCAGATGTCACGAGGCTGATGCCCCTTCTAACAACCAGAGCAACAATCTTTATCGGTGCATGGAATGTTCAGACAATGTGGGAGACCGGGAGATCTAATCAAATAGCTACGGAAACGAGGAGATACAATTTTACGGTGTTCAGAATCGGTTAAATTCACTGGACCCAAGCTCGACAACCAATATCAAAGTCAGAATCGTCAAGACGGTTAGTTCTATTGTAAGTAGCTGAAATTTGGAGAACTACTACAACCGTCATCAAAAAGGTACAAGTATTTGTAAACAGTTGTCTGCGCAAGATAATCAATATCCGTTTGCTGGATACCATCAGCAACAGCCTACTGTGGGAGAGGTCAAACTAGCTTCCAGCTAAGAAGGGAATTAGGAAAAGACGTTGGAAGTGGATAGGACATTACGTAAATCATCAAACTTCATCTCGAGGCAAGCGCTTACCTGGAATCGTGAAGGGAAACGGAAAAGAGGAAAGCAGAAAAACGCACTGCTACGAGAGTGCTGATGGGGGGGTGGCCTATGCTCTCTGACGAGGGGTAACAGGCGTATTGTTGGGGTGATCCAGAAAATTCCTTGCAAAAGACAAGCAAGCATCGGGAATCACTAAGATGCGTTTCATCCAATCAGCGTTCACTTGAAGTCTTAGCCAAAAATGTCAGGGAAGCGAAACGTCACATGCAGAGGCTCTGATTGGTTGGTTGCTACACTGCTACTATGTTTAGTAGCATTCCAGAATCTTCTAGCAACCCAAGGACATTTAAAATATAAAAACCCTATATTTTCTGTATTAAAATGAACCTTGGAGTAAACTACTTCTCGCGTACTTTGAGTCTTCTCTCTCGTGTTCAGCTCGCTGTATAGTTCTAGCTTGGGGGTTACAGAATAGCTTAGGAGACGAATATAGCGTTCAATCCTCAAGACTTATTACGTATGTAAGTGAAAAAAGAATGGCACTTTCTTCTGATCAGTCGCAGTTATTATTATAGCATCAGCAGATGTTAGTCTTTCAAGAGCAACCACTTGAAGCAGTTTTGGGCGGACTTTCCCCACTACCAGATATTCCAGAAAATAAAGAATCTATTTATGATGCAGACAATGGTCCAGTTATGGCCATTTCAGAAGTATGCCCTTTGGAATGTTCAAGTCCTCGTATACCCAAAACAAAATGTAAAATTGGTATATTTTCCGGCTCATTGTAAGACATTATCTTGCCAAATACACGTAAAACTGTGACAATACCGGTTGATTAAGAAACAGATTTTGTAAATGAAACCCTGAGTCCAGAATTCAATGAAGCGCTTTTGACCTTGGATAACTTCAAACCTAAACTTCAGCCTGAACAAAATAATGGTTTATGTGATATTGGTCGAGAAATTTGGACGGACTCATATCCAGAAAATAATTGGAGCAGTACGATGAATACAATTGCACCAAATGAAACTCAAAGTCATTGAAAGACAGAAGCCTATAATGAACTAACTTCTTATCCGATTTCTCCCCTATTGTTGCACATAATTTTGGTGAAATTTCTAATAAAAATGGAAAAAATATGTCAAATGATGATAAAAAATCTAATGCAGTTTTGGTAGATGCTGATTTTCCTGGTGATCCATTATCCACTACTGAGATTGTAAATAAATTTGAGGGAAATATTTCAGAAGAATCAAACCCTAATGACCTCAAATCAAATGTCGTTCATCCTCACCATCTAGTCACTCCTAGTGGATTCACCATTCAATGCTAAAAATATATTTTAAATAAAGTCACTAATTGTAACTTGGCGATATGAGGATCCAACCGTATTTCGTGGGAGAGATAAGTTTGGAGAATTTAAAGTTACAGATATTTTTTAAAAATTAGGATCTAAACTTCTAATCTTCAAAAAAGGGAGAACTGTTATATCCTAGTGAAAATTAAATTTATGGTTAACTTCTGAGAACTATTAATGGAATTATATATATTCTGTATATCTATACTCCTCTTATTACAAGCTTTATTTGGACCTATAGACTATTATGATACGATTTACTATCCTAAAATTTTACTCAGTTTATTGATTAAGTCTCCCACAATCACGTCCACTTTTTGGCTTGATCTTGTTGAAATGTTATTTCCTATTTTGTGGTTTGATGTGGTCTTGTTTGCTAGTCTGCTCATACCGGTCGAACGTCATTAGTTCGGCACAGTACTAAGATTGTTTAAGTCGCATTTCGATTGGCGAATTAATCACGTGATAATTAGTCGGGCTTAAAGTCGCAACAATTTTGTCCCAGTCTCAAATGACCAAGAGTTTCCAAATTTTGGATGTCGTCCCACAGATCTTAGATCCCTTAGATTGGTAACATTAGGTTTTCATTTATACTATATTTCTCTCGTTTTTCTATTTACGATTTCTCATTTAAGTAACATAATTGATTTATTTCTCAGCATTGAATTTTTCACGAATTATAATTTACTACTGTTTATGAGTTGGCTTATATGATATTTATCTTACTATGCCCTTTCGAAATAATATTTTGTTTAGGGTATTGGATTACCTCTGGAAGAGTCACTTAAGTTTTGGCGCAAATCATTCTCTCCTAAATATGATAATGATCAATTTAATAAAGCTTACGCCTACAACATCAGACACAATTATGGAAAGGAAGGAAAACGTGCAGATTATACACCTTATTCTTGTATTAGGGTAATTCCTGTCTTTTGTTAAACGTTCATTACAGTATACCAAATTCGTCCTTCAATCCATTGTAGTTGACCTAAACATTGTGATTTTTTGTGTTGATGTAGGGTGGTAGTATAATCCCTCGTCAAAATTTTCGTCTAAAACTGTTATTGATTGTTGTCAGATATGTTTGTATATGTCCCAAAGGTTTTTTTATCTAACGCACACCAGTTTGATTTCTCGGTGTATATAGAACCTACTTTTTTTTAGTGTAGAACGTGATTTGGGTATTTTTATAAACAATCTGCTTTTACGCTGCATACTACATTTTGATAAATATTAAGTTTCGAAGGTGTTCAACTGATTATTATATTGAGTTATATAGATCCTCTTGTAAAAAACTGATGTTATTCAGTTCTTTTGCTGCTAAATGGCATTTTATTTGTTCACGCTTTGATTCCGTTGTCAATTATTTCTGCTTAGCAATCACGAATTCATTTGACAATAATCCATTTGTTTTCAAAAATTACCATAACTTATCAAGTTACTAACAAAAAACCAAATCAACCAATCATCAGTCAATAACTTAGTAGCATTTATCATATAAATTTGTTGGATTCATCCATCAATACTCCCAACAGTGTATTGAAAATTTGAAGCTTACAGTGTTAGTAATGGAGAGTCCGGCTTTGCCAAACTTCTAGATTTGGAAATAAGCATCAACTCTGCTATTCCGGGATAAAAATAGTATTTGAGATTATATTTATTTTAGTTGAACAAGTGCGAATTATATATAATGTCAATCAACTAACATATATTCTGAATGCTTTCAAAATCACATTGATGTTTATATTGTGAATGTTTATTGTTATTGATTAAATCCATATTTCAGTAAGGAACATATACATTTTGATTTAGTATCTTCAAAAACTATTCCATTTTCTTTATTATTTATAACATAAAGATGCTTTGTGCAGATGTGTACTACCTAAAGAATTTAAAAACGAAAGATGTAATAATTACAAAATTAAAAGTTTTGATATAGTCATAGATTCATGCATGGATCAACATAAAATTAGTTTTCAAGACTTAAGACAGGGTTTCGAGATGCTGACAGATGAAATTTTAACAGGATACATATTTTTAATCAAAATGGATGAATTAACAATCAACAATCATGTAAACTAAAACCAATGAAAGCAAAGTAATCACCAACATTGAAGAACAGCGAAACAGATGAGTAGAACACTTCAATGAATTCTTGAATCGACCAACCCCACTGATCTCATCCGACATCGAAATAGCATCCACGGACCTCCCAATCGATGTCGGGCCACCAACAATTGAAGAGATCAGCATGGCCATCAAAAAAATCAAGAACGGCAAGGCAGCAGGACCAGACAACATTCCAGCAGAGGCACTAAAAGCAGATGTAGCAGCAACTGCAAAGATACTCCACATTCTCTTCTGCAAGATTTGGGATGAAGAACGAGTACCAACAGACTGGAAAGAAGGACACCTGATCAAAATACCAAAAAGGAGATCTTAGCAAGTGTGGTAACTGCAGGAGCATCACTCTACTCTCAATACCGGGGAAAGTCTTCAACTAGGTATTGTTAAACAAAATGAAGGACTCCGTATACACCCAACTTCGAGACCAACAGGCAGGATTCCGTAAGGATAGATCGTGTACAGACCAAATCGCAACTCTACGGATCATTGTGGAACAGTCAATTGAATGGAATTCATCACTTCATCAACTTCATTGACAACGAGAAAGCATTTGATAGCGTGGACAGGACAACACTATGGAAGCGTACCTGAGAAAATAGTCAATAACATACGGAATTCCTATGATGGATTAAACTGCAAAATCTTGCATGGAGGACAGTTGACAGACTCGTTCGTGGTAAAGAGCGGTGTCAGGCAAGGTTACTTACTATCACCGTTTTCTCTTTCTCCTGGGGATCGAATGGATCATGAAGTCTTTAAAATCTGAAGGGAAGCATGGGATACAATGGACAGCTAGGATGCAGTTAGACGATCTAGACTTCGCAGATGATCTAGCCCCTCTATCGCAAACGCAACAACAGAATCAAACTTGACTGAGATTTGGAAGATGTAAAAACCTTTACATATCTGGGTAGCATCATTGATGAACAGGGTGGATCTGATTCAGATGTGAAGGCGTGGATCGGTAAAGCAAGAACAGCATATTTACTATTGAGGAACATCCGGAACTCAAAGCAACTGTCAACCAACACCAAGGTCAGAATTTTTAATACAAATGTCAAGACTGTTCTACTGTATGGGACGGAAACTTGGAGAACTACGTAAGCCATCATCTAGAAGATACATGTGTTTATTAACAGTTGTCTACGCAAAATATTTCGGATCCGTTTGCCAGACACTATCAGCAACAACCTATTGTGGGATAGGACAAACTAGATCCCAGCGGAGGAAAGAATCAGGAAGAAGCACTGGAAGTGGATAGAACACATATTAAGGAAGGCACCCAACCTCATCACAAGGCAAGCCCTCACATAGAATCCCCAAGGCCAAAGGAGGAGTGGAAGACCAAAGAACAAATTACGTCGAGAAATGGAGGCAGACATGAGAAAAATGAATAAAAATTGGACAGAACTGGAAAGGAAGGTCCAGGATATAGTGGATTGGAGAATTCTGGTCGGTGGCCTATGCTTCATTGGGAGTAACAGGCGTAAGTAATCTTGTAAACTAACTGTTCAGTTGAACCTAGTAAATTGAATGTTCAACAAGGATTGGGACTTTTGCCTGGTATTTGTGTTACCATCAGCAAATGTTTTGCTTGTATCAAAAGTCTGTTAATCTACATCAGTTACTTTTAGTGCAATAATTGAAATAAAATGTTTCTACTAGTTGGTTATCTGTAACGTTATAAAAATAATGGTAATTAGCTGCACCCAAATATCCTTAGCAGTAGTGTAAAAGTGGAAAGTTAATCATTAACATGTTGCTTTCTTTCTTTATGAACAAATTTTTAAGTATTTATTTGTAATCGGTTTATTCTATAGTAAAAAGAATCTTAGTGTTACTGTGGATCTCGCACCTAATGTGATATTGATACCAGCGAGGTCGTAGGCTGATGTCACGTAGTTCTTGGACAAATATACATGAAACACACTTTTCAGATCGACTCGTAAACAACGAATACATAACAGTTAACTGAAAATTTTGGGAAGGATTTCTAAAATACGGAACACATCACTACTGGGTCTTTCCATAAACCTGTTCGTTATCCGGTCCGCATCAACTTATGAACATTATATACTCCAGTGACACAAAAGGTTACAAAATAGCTACATCAGACATCACATTCCGAGACATATTTACAAAGTAACGCCTTAAGACCGTTGAGAAAGAATAGAAATCCCGATGAAAGCGAGCTAAGGAGTCGGTTAACAATTAAAATCATTGTAAGAAATGGGAGAAACCATATAGGGGTCAAAAACATACTGATACAATTCACTTGGTATTGTTTACTTGGATCTTCCCGTTGATGTTTAGGACTGCAATTGATCAGTGTCTTATTGGCATATGTGCGTACTGCTTTAATTCACAAACATTCTAATCAAAGATGGATAGTGGCTAGCAGTGAAATCCAGGTTGCGCGTACCAGTGAAATCAATGAACGAAAACGAGTGTAACTACTTGGTTACAGCTTAATGAAACTGAGGATACACTTTTTGGTTTTTCAGAAATGTTCATCGCGTCTGAGTAATCTTGATACATCAGTTAACAAACGTTTGTTTATAAGTATTATTACTGAGGTTTAACCAGATAATTTCGAATAAATTGAGCACTAGTGGACTGCGCATAATAACAAAATAACGATACATTTGTAATATCTTAATTAATCGAGAAACTGAATATCTGACGTTTTGCGATCTGATTTTAACCGCTTCTTTATAGAATAAATAGCTGAATCAAATTAACACTTGTTTAAATCTACTTATTGGGACACTAAAAGTAGATTCGTATTGTTTATTTATACTAGATATCTCATATGTACATCATTTTTATGTTTTTTTGAAAGCACACATGTTTACCTTGTTCATCGGTATATCATTGTTCACTTCTACTTATGGCTTAGATTGTCTCAGGCAGTGCTCCAGGAGCGGGAGATTATCACGGTTGTCCTTTTCGGCATATGGACCCTGAACTTCTTCGCCAACGTTTACTGTCAGGTGGTCGTCTGTCGTTAGATATTGTGGAAACAATTGTACAGCGAGCAAAAGAAAGACTTTACCACCTAAGTTGTCGTGAATATTTACGTGGGATGTTAAAATTGAGTGTAGACGATATATCTGGAATAACCATTCACCATCCAAATCAATATTTTGAAGAAGCTCGAAAGATAATACAAGGTAACAAAAATAACCCTACAGTTGACAAAATCCATGTGAAGAAAGTTAAATTGTATAACGGTGATGATGACGACAGGCTACTTCAAGCTATTGACATTAGTGATGCAAGTTTTACCTCATCTAATGAGGTAATGACAGCTTAATATGTTGATCGCCAATGTTTTTATCATTTCTTCGGTTTACGAAGGATTTTTTGTCAGTCATCTTTAGCACTTGATTGGTTCAATTACGTATTTTGAAAAGTTGAAGAAAAAATTGAACTGAACGTACACAAAATCTTATATGCTTGAAATTCCACCATTTTTATTGTTCTCGATACTTTTTATTATGATTTTTATTTTCAATTAAAAATGCTTAGATTTTCCGTTTTCTATTTGTCTTTACATAGTTGAACCAAAACAATTCAGTTATTTGTCGATAAACATCCTATTCAGTATCGTCTGTTACAATTTTTCCACTGCTGTATGCATCCTCTAATTTCTATTTCATGTTTGATGTTACTTGGTTTCTATTAGTGTTTGTATCAGAGTACCCTTTTTAATAAAAGAAAATAATATTCGTTTTAAATCACATTACTCCAGTAACAGATATTCTAAGGTATTTGTTATTAAGTTTATAATCTGTCATATGTTAGATTTTTTGACTAGTTTCTTAAGGTACGGGTAATGAATCCTTACCCACAGTGTTGTCGAAAAAGCCTATTTAGATAGGTTTTTTAAATCATACTTTTCCTGTATTCAATATCGTTATAACGAGCCAATATAAACTAGTTGATTTATTCGCACCCGCTTCTTGATTTCATAAGATGTTTACAGGTTTCTTCAATGTCAAATACGATTAACCTGGTAAGTCGGTTCCAATAGTAAAATAATGTCAATGGATGATGTTAGCGGGACATAGATTGGATTAAAGCATGCTCAATGCACGATTGCTTTGGTGCACGCTGATTGGCTAATTCTTATCCAATCAGTGTTAGCCAATACTTAGTGTACACTCTAGGAATCTTCTCATGTGAAAAACTATAAATATACTAACGTTTTCCCTATTGTGCTTCTTACTTCCATCTAACCTTGTTATTGGAATATAATCTCTTTGCTGTTCAACCGTGTTCTGATTTGGGGACTTGTCGAGTGAATCGGTGTCCGAGAATACTAAGCAATAGGAATAGCTGGGTTATAACCGTAAGAGAGAATTGTAACAGGTGGTTAACGTTACACGCCGGATAAATCGATTTCTGCTGAGGCTTTATGTCTGCTGCGACCAATTGTTACCATGTCACCAGAAAATAATTTAGTTGATTAATTTTCGTCCAAGTGTGTGACGACGGACCACCGGTGAACTCGAGGAAGCTGTAAGAGGCTCAGAAGGAGCCGAAGACGTCCCATCCAATCACCTTTCGGAAGAATGTTCTAGAATTCCAACGTGTAGCTTCCCGATTGGATAATGCTAATAACCCCCTGTATGCGAATTGGAAGACTAATGATGATTTCTTCTCACTAAAAACTATAAATACCTGACAATTTTGTACTATGATTGACACTGTTTGGAATAATATTCCTTTCGTTAGTCTTCTGTCTTCTTATTGCGACTTGGAAGGGTTTTGGTGTTCTAGTGCTCTGTTTTACGCGGTAGTATCAAGGAAAATCAACTTTTCAAGATATAACAAAGTGTAAAATAATGCAAAAGTTGTGTTTCCCATAGGTTTAAGAAAATAGTGAGAGTCTAGAAAACGAGAAGATGCAGATATGCTAAATTATGTAAGGAGATAATTAGTGAATGCTTATCCTATTCATTCACTCTAAACAGCATAGCAGTTAATGGTCACCAATAGGTCAATGTAAACCACAAATGAGTGAAATGTTGAGCTATTAACTTACTGTAATATTACGCCCTTCTTTCCTAGTTACTGATGTGAAAGACCATTCTGCTGTCGTTCTGAATGGTGTCGGTTATCAAAATCAGATACTCAAAATGATCCTTATTTTAAAGATTCAGGTAACTCACCAAACTAGACGTCTTACTGGTTAAAACTAGGACAGCAGATGTCATTTTTTGTGCAACTAAACGATGAATATTCAGTAACACATTGGTTTAAACCATATTAGAGTAACAAGAAAATTATGATGTATGAGTAGTTACAACATAAGAGATAAGCGAATAAAAGACAGGATTAAGGGTTGCTCTGGAGTCAAGAGTTAAGTTTAAGAGTGTTAACGTTAGGTAAGAGTCAGGTTTAGGATGTGAGAGTTAGAGAATGCTTTTTAATCATTAAAACGCTCTTGGCTACGTCCCGAGTCACATTACGTACGTTCATATACAGTGTGCACCAAGAACACGTATTTTTTGAAATTTAGCTTATACAACTTGTTAGATTCATTGTTTGGTTACGCAAGTTATTTTTAACCATATTCGAAAATAATTATAGGCAGGTTTTACCTATTATTACTTACACTTACTATCCCTCACTATGTTTTCAAAATTTTAAAGGCGTTATTTCAAATCCGACTGATTGCTTGATGGTCGTCGATATTATATGGTTTTACCACATATTTTACTTTTACTTTACTGCCCACAAACTAACATTTGTCTGATAATTACTTGTTTCAAAGATGGAGGATAAGTCGGTTTATTGTTAATCCATCAACTGGACTTGTAAATCAGAACGCAAATATTTCTGAAGTGGGTTTAACTGGTGAATAGATTGAGTGTAATCAACAATGAGACTACGATGCCCCAAAGTTGTTTGAACACCTATGTATTGCAAAATCTGAATGCCTTTAGTTTAACTTCAGAAGAAAATAAGGATGATGAGTTTAAAAATGGGATAAGATTATTTCCTAATAGAGTTTGGCTTCCAGTTGTTTTTTAAATGATATCAGCTTTTGAATTCGACGTGTAATTCCCGGAAAATTCGATAACATTTTAAAAGAATTTCACTCACATTTTAGACAGCCAGAATGTAAGCCTACTCTACTTGTTTAGCGTCATTTCATTAAGAAATATAATCAGCTAATTATATTCCTCAAATTATCGAAAATATACAGAAGCTGTTTGATATTACGTACACAATTACAATATAGATTACTGTTTCTAGACGTTCATTTTTATCCTCACCTAATAATTTAATTTACGATGCTACAAAAAATCGTATTGCAAAACTAAATGTCTTTATTCGTAATAAGAGGTCAAATATTGAGTAAGCATCTTCAACTGTCTTATACAACAATATTTTGACAAAATTATTTATTTGTCATCTAGCAACAATAACAAAGTTGCTAAGATATATAGACTACTTAATAATAGTATAACTTCTGAATATTAATTTAATTGAGATGTTTATTGAAAATTTGGTCTGGCTAACTGGGTTATCATTAACTAGCTTATCTGCGTGTGTTTAGATATCTAAAAGTTTTTCATGAGCTAAGTATGAAGCTATATGAGCAGTACAGTGATTCATATAAAAAAAATTCAACTAGTGAAACTAACTTTATAGGTAAGAAAGTAAAAGTACACTGAAACATCAAGTTAAACTATCCCTATGCAATTATGAGTACCGTTAGTAGTTAACTTACAAGAACAAACTATGAACTTCATTTGACTTTAAGAAAATCTAAATATTCGGTTATCAGAAGAGTTTTTAATATGAGGATCAATATATTTGTTGATCAGTTGGTCTCCACGACCATCATTCATTTTCAGTTACTCGTTCATATATCTGCTGTCAAAAATACAATATACGACCGTATTGATTCATCGGATTGTACTGGGGATGTTGAATCCAAATGGCCTATTAAGATTTCATAGATATTTTAACAGTAAACTGTATTCTGAATTTCCCTAGAATAAACTCTTTGGTAGACTTTAGGGATTCATTTAAAATTTTCATTCATACTTAAATTACAAAGCTTGTGACAAAATTATAAGTATTCACTTGTAGTTTCCTTTTACAAATATGGTTAGTCAAAGCAGATTTTCAAGAGAAAATATTTCAATTATTGTTCAGAAGTTATACTACTATTAAGTAGTCTATATATCTTAGCAACTTTGTTATTGTTGCTAGATGACAAACAAATGAATAATTTTTGGATAATACTGTGAAAAGACGAAAGTTGTCAGTAGTGTGTGATAAATTTGCGTAATACATCTCGAACAATCTAATCACACATATACCTGTTAAGGCATTGTATATAAAAAATGAAAGGTCAATTAGACGAAAGGTAAGGGGGAACAAAGATGATAAAATAGACAAAAACAGAGTGACCACGTTGGATAATAAATCAGTAGAGGATATTGTGCACCACTTTCATTTTTCTGGATCAAATCAAAGTATATTAACTGCCAAAAACTTCCAGTCATTAGAAGAATCGCAAAATAATACTGATATTATTATGGCTAAACTTGATAAAGGATCAGATGTCGTTATAATGAATAAGCCCATTTACAAAAATAAAATGGGATGATTTTTCAATGATAAAAACAAATTTCTGGCTGATGTTGACTCTGATGGATTACGTAAACTAGGAAGGAACGTAAACTCGGATCTAATGAAATTGTTAAACATGAATGTTATTAACAAAGAGGAGTTTAATTTACTAAAACCTATGGGTTCGGCGTATCCTAATTTATATTGATTACCAAAAGTTCATAGGACCAATACCCCCTTACATCCGATTCTATCAATGTTTCGATCACCTACACACAATCTTATAAAATAGCTGATAAAAGTAATATACCCTATTTGAAATCAATTTTGTAAGTACTCTTTGGATGACTCATTTTAATTACTGAAATAATACTAATGCAGAAACAAAGACAATGTGCTCCTTTGACGTAAACGCTTTATTTACAAATATGCCTCTAAAGAAGACTGATATTTCATGTGAGTATAACTCATTAAATAATCTTCCATTGACATTTCCTGTAAAAACTTGGATTTATTATTATGTATTGACAATGTGAAATTCACTTTTGAGGGCAAGGATTTTCGACAGATTGATGGTGTAGATATGGGTAGTCCTTTAGAACTACGGGGTATCTAGAAAATCTCACAGAAGAATCAATACAAAAAATCTATCTGTATAAGCGGTACATGGATAAACGTATAGATATGAACCACTTGTTAAAAAGATTCGGCACAAATCAAAAGCATAATTCTCCTACATCCGAAGAAGAGATGAATGAACAGTTCCCTTTTCTGGACATACTGATTAGTAAGAGAGACGATGGTCCCACCAAACGTTCTGCATATAGAAAGTCGAAATGAACAGAGCAATATCTTAATTCCCATAATCATAGTTCAATACAGTACAGACGTGGATTGATAAAGGTTTATTTAGTGGGATCAATGTAATGGACGCTACCTACAAGTTTGTTTGTAAGTGGTGTGTAGCAGAACGTGGCGTCGAAACTTGCAGCAATTGTGGGATGGAGTGAAGTTTCGGTGAATTAAAAGCACGGCATTGATGTAACACGTGGAGAATAGACAGTTTAGATTTCAGAACACATCGGAAGATGCAAATGAAAGACTGAAAGTTATGTATAAGCATTACGCAAATACTTCGTAACTTATTATCAGAATGGGTTTTGTGGAGAATTTTAGAAATTTCACAGTTCGAAATCATGAGTCAGTTGAAGCTAGACCACCATTGAAAACCTGGAAGCACTGGACGGCCGTAACTTATTATTGCCTATTGTCGTGATTTACATCAATCGCATTCGTACTGCCAGTACCATTGAGGTAGACGCGCAGCTCGTAACTGAAATATTGGTGGGGGACGATTATTCACTGAGATTTATAAACCAATGGAAAAGTAGCAGTATGAATAGACCTATGACGGTTTTGGCACCCCAAAACAAGTCTATCATACTCTACCATTCATAGGTGACTTAAATAGTCCCATGTTGAAACGACTTAAATTACCTATC